CAATTGTGTTGAATATAATTAATTTTGATACACAACGTCTTGGAATAAAACGATCGAAGAGTTCAAATTTACTAGTATTAACTTTATTTTCCTTATCTGGGGCAATTAAGTTGGGTAGGAAAGTTGATATAATTGAAGCAGCATCTCTGAAGTGTTCCGAGGTTATGTCTCCACATAAGACAGAAAATCAAAACTTGCTCTTTGAAGTCTGGAAAAATTTTCTATTCAACGGCGTTATTGTGGACATGATAAATGTGTCGTTTCCGATGCTCAAGGCTACATTCCAGCAGAAAGAAGTTGTCTGCCACGTCGTTTTGTCGACCTTAGCAAAGGTTGGAATTGCTGCCTCTATATGTTGTGTAAACTGGCGATGTGCAGATCAAAGCCCCTTTGATCTATATGTTATCAGGTTCTGTATGGATTACGTGACGAGAGAAAGATACCAGCATAGTTTATACCTCGACAGTGAAGGGATGTGGTGCTTTCCGATGGAAACGCATTACATTACTATTCAGAAAAACATTAATGAGTAAATTTGTTCCGATCAAATAAAGTTGACTTTTAGATCCAAGTATACATAATCATTGCAATAAATATATTTAGATACATTTAGTAAAACAGACAGATGTATAGACAGATATACAAAGAAACAAACAATTATACAATTATTCACGTTACAGAATGTGTGCTGATATGCTTTTTAGACTTACTTATATCATATACACATAACAGGAAAAGTTTTCACTCCATATTATATTATTGAAAAACCTTCATTACAGCTTATTTTGCTGTTATTTATTGTTGAGACAGATTGTATTAAGAAAATACAATGTGCATTTATGCAAAGTGAATGGAATTTTATTTAGCTTTATTTAAATTGAATTCATACACATTTCTGGAAAAATGAAAACTATAATTTAGACAAGTTTAACTACCGAAAAATATTAGTAATTTTATGAAGATATTCAAAGATACGGAAATTTTATGAAGATATTCAAAGATACGGAAACTGTTTTTTTTTTTTTTTTTTTTTTTTCCTAAGCCTTCTAGCCTACGTATAGAAACTACGGCTTTATCATTATCATTACTGGTCAAAATTGTCTCAGTCGTCATATTCTAAGTAAGAGTGGGTCTTAAATCAACTTGTAATCACCACCAATGTGAGAAAGTAGGGCAAAGACATTGAGATAGTGGTTAGTTAGGAAGATTGTCACGTGCAATGGCGCAATAAACTGAACATTCAACTTGTAGAGACAAACGTAATTATGTATAAAACGTCGGTATTTAAAATGACTCCCTGGTTAACGCAAGGCTTTCTAACAATATAATTAAATGAATGTGCATCATTAATGGCCTATGCTACGTGACGGGGTTCAACTCGCAGATGTTCAGTAAGATGCAAATTAAATATATGTTGATTCCAAATACGTTCTTGTGGTTAGAATATACACATTTACGTAATGCATTGCCTTTATTGATTTAGTGTTATAATTGTAATCAATTTGCTTCAATAACAATGCTTCAGAGATAATTATAAATTAATTTATGAAGATAAAATGCCAAATGAATAGCTGGTTAGTCTACCGGCAAACCAGTTTTCACTAACTTTAGCCTGTTACCACTCAACATACACGTATCTGCATAACTTTGTGGTTAACTTTTAAATATATAATATTCTCGAATGTAGTTCCACATCAAAATGCCACTGGTGTCATCAAGTTAGTTGTGAAAAAAGGATTGTCGAGTTTTGGGCTGATTTTGTTTTATTTCTTGTGGCTGCATCATCCCTAAAAATGAATGATTCTCGCAACGAGCACCAAAGGCGGCATGCACTGCTGCAGGAATTTGGATCTATTACTTTTTCACAAGTCTACTGCAAAATTTATCTTATCTTACTCAAAGGGTAAGTTATTGACTTATCGCTTAATATACGGTGTTAAGGTAAACTTAAATATAAATTCCAACTGTTTGACAAACAATAACATTTTGGTATGTGATTCATTGATTGATTTATTGATGAGTGGTTATTAGTTGATTATTCTGTTTGTCTGCCAGAAACATATATGTAACTGAAAAATGTTATGGAGAGATTTTTGTTTGGATAGGTATGACATGGGTTAGATTTTTGTGGTAATTTTAATCAAAATAGGTTTATCATATATTTTTCCATTGAGTTAAATGATTAATACATATCCATAATAAATGAAATTATAAGTAATTAATTATCAATAATAATGAGAATAATTATAGCTGCCTATGGTGTTCTCGGATTTCTTTTCTACATGGAGTGGAACTTTTTCTGCTTTCCTGCTTTCCAAATTTGACTCATTCACAATGTACGTATAAAGATTTAAAAACAAAGGGTAGATGTAAAAATTACGATTGAACCACCAAAACCAATAGATATATAAAATGAGAAAAAAATGTCTGTCGCTTAACTAAAATTGACACTCTCATGGTCCTGGAATAAAACTACCGAAGAGTTCAAGTATGCTTGTATTAAATTGGATAGGAAAGTTTACTTCCATTTCATTGTAAACAAAATAAGCCTACAAGGTATCTTCGTGTTAGTGTGTGTGTTTGTATATTGATGTACCTTACCACTTTACAAGGTATCTTCGTGTTAGTGTGTGTGTTTGTATATTGATGTACCTTACCACTTTACATCCACTTCCAGAATATATGAAGGCAGTAGAAAGCCCCCCTGTCAAAGCATAGAAACGAAATTGTGGGACACATTTAATCAGTCGGAGATACCTTCACCAGTACGCATCATGGACTTTGGAGGAGGTACAGGAATAACAATGGCACCCATCTACAGAAAATTGGACGCTCTTAATAAGCAAATGATCATCAGCGTGGAGGAACCACACGAGGATTCACTGCGGAAATACAAGGAGTTAATTGAGAATATGAGCAACGCGTCCATTGATTTAACTTGTTCCGGGCCATTGCAGGATTACTATGGACAATCTGTAGAAGATTTGATAATCAAAAGAGCTTATCCACAACACCTGCAGGACAGGGTCCTAGCAGTGCACGTCCTATATCATCTGACAAGTATCTTCGATGATCCCTTTGATCCATACGAGAACATGAAGCAAGCCATCTTAGCAATGTATGCCGTCCTTAAACCAGGAGGGCAGATGGTTATAGTGTTAGATAAAAATGAAGATGGTTTAATTGGAGCCGCGTCTCTGAAGTGTTCCGAGGTTATTTTTCCACGTAAGACGGAAAATCACAAGTTGCTATATGGAGTCTGGCGAAATCTATTGTTTAGTGGAGGTATTGCGGGCGAGATAAATGCGACGTTTCCGATGTTTAAGGCTTCGATTCAGCAGGAAAAAGGAGTCCACCACGTTGTTTTACCGACCCTGGCAGAGGTTGGAACTGCAATCTCTATCGGATGTCTGCTTGGGTTGTGTGCAGACCAGTCTTCGTTTGATCAACGTATTCTCCAATTTTGCATGGATTACGTGAAGACTGACGGATATAAACATGGCCTGTACTTTGACAGTGAGGGGATGTGGTGCTTTCCGTTGAATATTTATTATATTACTATCCAGAAAAACACAAATGAATAGTGTGTTTCAATCAAATAGCGTTCTGATTTTAGAGCATTGTAATTGCAATTAATTGTCTTTAGAAATGTTTAGCGGGACAGGCAGAGACAGAAAGCAGAGTCAGATACGGCAGACTTTACGTTATAGAAAGTGTTATTATTTATAATCTATAAATTTTTGCTAACTTAGACTTACCATATACAAAGGCCTATACCAAGGGCAGAAAAAGTAATATTTTATGTGTTAAGCTTCATATACTTTATCATGCTTTTTTTTATTGGTGAGGCAAATTTATTCAAGAGTTATTTTACATATTTTTCAGCATGGGCTTGGTTTTAATCTGATAAAAGATATATGCATGAAGAAATGTCCTTTAACAAAAACAATAATTATGTATATTTAGATTATTCATTAATTAAAGTTTATTTTCAACATTTCAGCGGTAGTTCAATTGCCGAAAAATAATATTTGCATATAAATTGAAATACAGTAGACTTCAGAAACTAATTTTGCTGGATTGTCATCATTATAAGCAAAAAAATAAAAAATAAAAATAAATAAATAAATAAATAATGATAAATAAATTAGAATAATAAAATAGGTATTCAAATAAATATATCTCGACTTTTCCTGTTTTCGTCATTTTTATGGGGTGAATTCTATCTATAATGATGTTGCCTAGCTTTGACACAAAATTCATGGCTGAGAAATATGTGTTGTGCAAAAAATGGTTTCAGCGACAAATGTATACAGTAGTTGTGCAAGTTGTTGACAGGCCCTGTTTATTTGTTGACAGGCCCTGTTTATTTGTTAAATTTTACATGATTTAATTTTTTTAAAAATATTTTTAAGTTTTTATTTATTTATTTATTTATTATTTTTATTATTATTATTATTATTATAAACTGTTCGACCGGATGGTGAATACATGTATATATCTACAGTATAATTCGTCACTTACCCGGTTGTACATGTATCATCATTGCTTTGGAAATAGGGCCTTAATCATAATTGCTAGATAGATGTAACCTTCAATTAATCAAATCTCTTCCCGCTTGTAAATACACTAAAAATGCTTTGCGATCTAATTTTATGCAAAATTTGTGCTCAATTTGAATAACGTCAGAACCCATTTTTGAAAAGATATGAAATGCATCAAACTTAGAATAAAAGAAGATGCTGATTTTATTCAAACAAACGTGTTACTAATAACCACATCATATGCATATTTCTCGATAGGATTATAACAAAACTTTACATCAAACGTTATTCTCTAGCACAGCGAGCCGTACAGAAAATAACACGATATATACCGGTATATAACTAAACCATAGAAGTAGAGAAAATGGAATGCCAACTTCAAATCTCGCAGGCCGAGCTTGTGACCCCGAGAGTTGAGTTGATCACTAAATTATGATCATTTATTTCAAAGGTGACGCAAGAGACATAATGGACCAATTTTTGCTACTGAAGGAGGAGCTGACACCTGAAAGCGATGACAACGCCAAGGAGGCGCTTTCTGACACTAGAATCATGCTCACCTTATTGGACATAAATATTGGTAGGGTTGATTTCTGAGACAGCACACGTGCACTCTTAATACAGTATTTCTGATGATATTTGGTACTTTGTCGAATAGATAAGGTATCACATAACCATACTCCCAAGTATAACGCAGTTGCTTTTTACATGTGAACGTATTTCAGACGACACAGTTGATGTTCATTCTATAATTAAAAAGGAATCGCAATATCACTGTAGCTCCTGTTATCACACGGGTCTCTAGATAGTTAACAAAATTTGAGCTATTCAATATTTTCGAAAGAGTAAGATAAAGTATGTTTCACATATTCAGAGGTAAAGGTTATACAGTGTATGTCCCAAACCTCCGCGCAGTGTCATAATCTGTTTTTCTTGCAGGAAAAAAAGCCTCAAAACGTTTATATTGTCCATAGCATTAGTGTATTTTATTTTGTATCCTCCACTTTTAAACAACATTACAGGGAGAAAGAATGAGGAACACCACGGGTAATTTTACTTCGACGCTTCTTATTACTTCTATATCAAACATGTGGTAGATTTTGACGGGAAGGATATATACAGACTTGACATTTAATATGGAATTTTTTTCCAAAACATTTTTCATCAGTTTTTTTCCTATTTTGCTGACTGATAAATGAAAATAAGGATTAAAATCGTGTTTTAATAACTTTTTATTTTCTCTCTGATCTCATAGTGACATCAGTTCATTGGTTGAATTTGCCAGTGAAGCAAACAACGTCCATTAAAAGAGATATTTTGGATCTCCATATTTTCCAAATTATCGTCTGTAAAAGAGTTACACGCTCCACTAATGACCCTCATGTCAGTGTCTAGTCATAGCAACGGTCGCTGTTACACCTGTCCTTTCTGGCTGCTACCAGCACCCTCAAGGGACAAGGCATTACTTGGGAAATGTTTTTTAGAGTTCAATAACATTCCAGGCATCGGTCAAAACAGTTTTGTTGTAGAAGATGTAGGCTGTTGATTCGTCGAGTAATGGCCTACCCAAACGTTGTCTATGTGGTTCAAATATCGCGATTTTGATGACTAAGGTAGCTGCCCATTCCCTTGGTTCTGTAAGTTATGTGCAATTAAAAGTTCTCTGTGTCGACCGACAATCTCACCATGCAACCTTAAAATTGTTCCTAAGGTTCCCCCTATCAAATGATAGTCAATTGTTTCCCAGATTATTCCTTTATTTGATCTGGTGCAGGTTTTCGTCAATGACTACCATTGGTGTTTTGGCACCAATGTTGTATACACTTCAAATACTGACGCTGTCAATGCCCTAATCACTTAAGACGCGGCACACGCATCGTCCTGTAATGTCTGTAAACTCTGTTTTGACTAGTTGGGTGGTGCAGGTGAAATCGGACCTCAATAAAGAAAGCCACGCGGTTTCAGTGATCTACCCAGAAACGGTCATGGTCCCCAATTCATTAGAGAAACAGACGGCGATGTTTTGCTGTTTCCAGTGGGTACCTCGGAGGTTGTTTAGTATTCTTACCTGCTAAAACCATTTTGGTGTTCGCTAAGGGCCTTGGAATGCGCGTTTTGGTGGCAATTTGTCCCTCATTCTAAATGGACTGATTGGTTTTTGTTCAGTTGCAGCTGCGTATCCCGAAAGACAATGGGTCCTTTACCCTGGTGGTGGGATTTCTATACATTGTATGTGACCTCTGTGTAGGCACATCAGTCTGGGCATTGCTTTATAAAACTGTGCGGACCGTTCCATTTGGCGCTATGATCTGTCTGGCAATGTCTGTCATTTTCGCGCCATTCTGCCACAGATTGATATAATTGTAAAGCAATACTAGGCTCATTTTACGAACTGCAAAACCGACCGCTTGCATGCAAAATTTCAGATTCTTCTATTCAGTAGTTGCCGACAAATGTATACTTTTTTGACAGAACCATGCTTTGCCAAAGCCTAGCTCTGACCCGCTCAAAGGAGCACCACCAAATTAAATCACTGCATATTACATAATGCAGCAGCGCAACAGACAGTGTAGTCAGTTAATTGGTAACGATACACCTGACAACACGCTTTTCCGTTCATATATCTTATATGAAATCGGATTTTTTTTAACGCACTGTTACCTATGGTTACCTTCGAAACTGAAATTTTCCATAATAAATGTAAAGTCTGTATTTTTCTGTACAAAGTACACTAAGTGTTGTTGTGCAATGCTCAATATGAAACTTGTTTTTTACTACAATGCATCCGATGAGTATTAAGCAGACATATATCTCCCGTAGCTGGAACCGTGACTGCATCCGACACATTGAAGTGGATGGTAATGTATGTAGCAGACAATCGAAAAGTCCAGACAAAGATTCACAAGGAGTTAGACGACTTAGGTACATTGTAAAAGCATCTTTCTTGTCTTTATTTCAGTTACAGTTACATGTGCATCTTATTGGTCACAAATACATGTACATGTTTCACAGTTCTAGAAAACGAGCGGCTGTATGAGGCCTGCACTATTAATGCATATAGTCATTATGTTTATGTCCTTCATCCGATTGTTGCATTTTCAAAAATAGCCTTTTTTGACATATGACAAACAGAAAACCATTCGGGCGATCTTCGTCACTGCAGAAGTAAGATGACTTACTGTGAAGCTGTTCTAAGAGAAGTAATGCGCATGCGCCCTGCAACCCCAGTGGCTTTCAAACATAAAACACTTTGTGACACCAAATTAGGTGAGATACCAATTTGTCTTGCTCGCATATAAAACTTAGGTTATTGAATTATCTGTCATTATCAATATATAATTAATCTTCCCCATCCAACTAAAACAGGCGATAATATGAATTTTAAGGCCTATATCGATGGCATGAATTTGAATTCCACAGCAACTTCAGCTTTTGTTTACATGGTACCTACTTTTTCTCGTGAAACAATTTCTTTTTATTGAATGGCAATCTGAAAATTCATCATACTGTCCATATTAAATACTTATCTCTTTAGCTAGTTTGAGGTTGTTGGCAATGCACTGATAGTATGACGCTACACCTTTTTATTCATCATCATTTAGGTGGATACGATATCCCAAAAGACACTCTTGTCTATCCCAACATATGGGCAATCCACCATGACCCGAAAAACTGGGTATCGCCGGAGACGTTCATGCCAGAGAGGTTTTTGGACAAAGATGGCAGCTTGAAAAAATTGGATAAAAAGACATGGCTGCCGTTCAGCAGTGGCAAGAGGAAATGTGTGGGAGAAGCACTTGCCATGGCAGAAATCATGATGATCATGGTACGTGTTCTTTCGTTTTGATTTTTGTTCTTTCAAATGTGTCAGATAGCCTTAATGAATATTACATGTTATTCATATTTAGGAATATCGTGTGTGCACTACTTACATATACATGTACATGTGCAGGTATGAATAGTGATTAGATTCTTTTCCAGGCATTGTTTTTTCGTCGGTTTAGCGTAAGCTTTCCACCAGATGTCCAACCTGACTTCGAGCCTATGATGTTTGAACTAAACAACACTCCCTTTCCTCAGAAGATAATTGTACAAAAAAGGGGATGACAATTTACATCAAGGTGGTTTAAATGACTCAAGCAATATTTGGACCGCTATTTAAATATATTGCATGGATCAAGAGGCGTAGAGGACCGCATTAAACAAAGCATGCATTATTAACCTTTAGGGTGTGGGCAGTTAATCGCAAGACATTTAAGAACTATTGTATCCACTAGTTAGTAATATGATGGTTTTGTATATACATGTTGTTCCTCGTTTGATATTTTAAGAACCCTAGTTCTGAATTGACAAATTACCAAAATGCACTGAGCATGCGCGAGGTCACATTATGGACAACCGCGTAAAGCTACTGCAGCATTTCTTGTCGAGTCGAATTTTTAAAGGCAGAACTGCTTGGCATTGTAAAAATAACTACAATGATACAGTGTATTGTATAGGCAAAACCAGTTTTAAATATACACTGGAGTAAGGCAACTGGAAAAACCCCAGGTTTCACGAATTAACATGAAATCAAGCGATCCATTTTGGGGTTAAGTAAATGGTTGGTTAACAATACACGAGAAGTAGAGAGTTTTGTGAGACAAAGAGTAAAAGCTATAAAAATACCATTTTTCCCTAAGTTATGCTGAACTGTAGTCTATTGCACCACCGTACGAATTTAAAATTATTGTCACTTTTGCATTTTTCTCAGCATTCCCGGCGTTGGGGTTATCGTTTAAAACGACCCCTTTACTTGTTACTTGTTATTCAGGTATGAAGTCACACATTACCAACAGCGCGGATAACGTTTATGCATTTATATAATATGGACAAGGGCTTTGTAAAGAAGTGCTTTAAATATTGAAAAGCATGTAGAATATCAACTAAAACCTATACATGTACAGTGCATTACTGTACAGTTGTATTTCACAAACCTAACATAAATACCAATTTTCAAATATGGAAAAGTGATGTATTCAACTTATTAAGTATTTAATTTTCAAATAAGAGTATGTTTGGAGCAGTAATTATTGTATTCCCCAGACAGTAATAAAAGAAATATGTAAACTGATACATTGTTAATTTACCACTTGGCAAAGACAGATGGTAAAATATACCGTTGTACCTCGGAATGAAAACATATGTAATATATTATGCTCCCAAGGAAAGTTTTGAAATTTGTAACCGTCTTAAATGCCATTTCCCGCATTTTGAGTGGCAATTAAGTGTTGAAAATGGTACGTTTAATATGACGTGAACACTTTGACAAATTAACTCCGCTCAGCCCGGAGCCTTTAAACTTACGCGGCAAAAATGGAAAAGTGACTGACCTCTGACCTGCTTTTGAGTTTGTTGACCAATCACAACCCTGGATCAGCCACGCTGTCGTGATGCCTCGTGAGACTGAGGATCTCATATCAAAGATGGCTCCGATTTCACTTTGCAGGACGATATTTACGGTACGCAGCCCTAGTACATAGCCTAAAGCACTGGTGGGTGTAACGATGTTGAAATTGTCCGTCAGTGGTACTATGTTTTAGATGTTATAGAAGTAGCTCAGATATTCAAATAAAATAAAGCAATATCAACAGATGATATATATACAACATTGGTCAAAAAGGTTGTCCCACCCCCATTTCAATGTAATTTTATTTACAAATGATCACCTCACAGCTGTAAATTGTTAGAAATAGTGTTTTTATTACAGACACCGTGTCTAACATGATTAATTGTTAAAAAAAAATACAAAATAGTGGTGAAAATATACACATTTTATACCATTTAGAAAAATTTAAAAGAGGTATCCCCTCAAATCCACTGTTTCACTGTGACGTCTACAGATGTAAAGAAATGTCTATTTTAATTTATTTTATATATTTTATTTAAAAATTAAAAGGACGCCATCAAATGTCACCAAATTCACACACTATTAGCATTAGGGTGTGCTCGTTAAAGATCACGTGCCTAACATCGTGTGCGTCTACCGTGTACTGCAATTATCTCCCTGTAGACGGCGTGACAAGCCTTCAACACGGATAACAATTGTGTTATGTGGGATATTGTCCCATTCTTCTTAAATAAGTTGGGGGAGTTGGTCCACGTTTTATCAGGTTGGTTCCCCTTTGCATTGCACACTCCAATTCATTTCACAGTTGGTTAGTCATCACAATGAAAAATTACAACCCCCTACCTATAGAAATATGCTTACATTTTTTATCACCTCAGAGTGAACATTTACTGTCATTATATATTGGCAAAGAAACAACATTTCGTCTACATGATGTCGATGGGCAGCCCTCGCATATCCCCGAACTATGCCACGTTGTCAAGAATAACTCATCTCATAAGCCCCATCAGCTGGGTATATATGTCACTGCCTGGGTATTGATTATTGATTACAAAATCCATAATAAAGCAACGAACATGTGAAGAAAGTGAAGATAAAAAACTAATATAAAAGGATAAGAATTATCCAATCCTAAGAAAAACGATTTGACCGCTGTTTATAATTTCGAACTGTTCATTACGTTTACACATACTAGAATACGAGATAATCCATTTCATAACCATCCACAACGTAATATTTGATTTTGAATGAAAGACTCATTGTAAGGACTGAGATATTAATATTTTTTTTGATCATACAGTAGCATTAGGCATATTGCTTTTCGCTATTGTATGATTTATCCAAATATTTTTTTTATTATTATTTTTTTGTCTTGACTGCAGATGTATTGTTTTACTTGATATAGATTATTAATTTATTAAAAGTCTTTTTTTATTTCTATTTGCCCTTCCCATAATGTTTTGGAGGCCATTTCTGTGTGTGTGTGGGGGGGGGGGGATTGGGTGTGTGTGTGTGTGTGTGTGTGTGGGTGTGGGTGTTGGTGGGTGTGGGTGTGTTTGTGTGTAAATGACTTGCAAAAATGTAATACGTTATCGCATTTCACATGGCTGTATACATAAACATGCAATGATGAACAACAGAGTGAAGAATATATCTTTGATATAAACGTAGGGCTCTTGCTATTCATATAACAAAATTGACGGCCATCTTGAATTCTGAAAAATTACCAATGCCCCGTCCGTATCATATTGTAAAAAAGGCAAGCTTAATTGGCTTTACTCAGTTTTGTTGGCCAGTTGACATTTTCTTAATGCAAGATAAACAGTGGCATAGCAGGCTTCCACTTACAGTGCTCGAGTGCCAAATGCACTCCCTGGAGATGACACCATCTGCCGCATCTGTTGAATGTCGAATAAGCAGTTTCTGAGCGTTAATAATCATGGCTTACAACTTATCATAAGGAATGTAGATAAAAAAGTTGATATCCTCTAAATAAGACTAAATATTTAAAAAAACGGACTTATTTTGCAGCTTTCTTTTACTTTCTGCCATATGTTTCTAAAGACGGTTTTTTAAAAATAGTTATTGGAATTGCCTGTTATGCATATAATATACAGCAATGCCTCTTTTATCACTTATATAAGCAGCATTTCCAACACTTTATGCTATTTTTAAATTCTGAAACCGGTTAACAATTAAAATACCAACACGTACGTTGCCATTGTGCAATTTAGGTCATGTATTGCAGGCGCAGCCATATTGCGCAATACATATTTAAGACTGGCAAGTGAGAACAAAAGGGATAAGGAGAGGTCGAATTAAAACATTAGTACTGCCTGGTGATAATAGAATCTTGGCATGAAGCACAGGTGAGGATTTTCAAAATGGTGAATATATAAATGTCGATTATGTAAAGCTGCACGCTTTGTTATATCCAATATTTTAGAAAAGGTGCAAAACTGACATTGAGGCATTGTATCGTGTTGCTCTATAGTTCAGTCGAATACGGAGTTGTAGTCATTATATTATAGGGATATATATCAATTTACATATTGTAATTTTTTTAATTGAAGAGTAGCAGAAAACTCTACTATTGCTCCACGTTTGTGTATACTGTGGTTCTTTCACTAGAAAAGCTTAAATAAACTGGGAACCTATCGAAAGGATAGCCCACCATCAAATGTGCCAGTCAACAAATGAATCATAATAGCAAGAGGGGTTTTGGCGAGAACACGAACTGATAACCTTTACACATTTATGTCTTTTTGATTTGAATGACTTTATTGAGTACAAGATTATATACAAGAGCTTTAAAAGTACATAATTAAAACAACTGACAAATAATAGTACGGCATCACTTTAAAATAATGCAAAAATAGAATTGTATCCAAAAGGATTTGCCTAAAGGGTCAATGACTCATGAATGAACACCCCCTAAAAAATAAACAAAAAGTAAAAAAATATCTACTTTGTACTAATAGCGAGATTGTGTTCATCTGCAATGACTCTCCCAAGCACAAACGTTCTCGGGGTCAAAGCGCTCCGCCAGAAGAGCACCACAGTGCTCTCTGACGGATCGTCTAAACATTGATCTGCCAACCCCTGAACGTGTCCAAATGGGAAGGTCGTTCCAGATGAGACCAATACGATTAAAATAAGACCGGCTTCTATAGAAGAAAGCTCTATGGAAGATTAACAGATCTCCCCTTCTTTCTCTGAAATATTAATACGTCGTATGATCAAGGTCAGCCCTGCCAATTAAATAACTATGCAGGAAGGCAACATCTAAAATTTCTCTTCTATAAGCTTACGGCAGCATGTTTAAAACAAGCAGTCTGTCTTTATAATTCATTTGGTTATCTAGAATATTGTGGCAGGTCGCTGCACCCTTTCTACTTTTTTCTATGTGATCCCAAGATACAGAACTAAACTCAAGCTTTGAACGTACTAAAAGAACCAAAAAGAGGCCGCATTAACCGTGGGTTCCTATTTCCGTCAAACACTCGCCTAATAGCTGCGCATGTCTGATTTGCACACTTAACAATGTTATTTATATGTGCTACCAAATTTGACGGGCGCTATAACCTTAATAAGACGTAATTTAATAGGCCGTTTACAGTTGATGTACGTGACAAGACTACGGCGTCTTTCTTATACAGTGCAGGTTAAACAATCTCGGTGGTCTCATGCTGGCTATTTTGCAAACGGGCATGCTCTGCAATGTATTTTTCACCGCCAGTCAAACTGGCTCAATATGATTTCCTTTGTGCAACCATGAATATGACCATGCCATGGTTGAAAGCCTAAGGAAACCCTTCGCTACCAAAGCATTGGTGCTTGTACAGGGTAGACAGTAGTAACAACTTTTACCGACTTTAAAACAACTTTTAAAGATGACAAATGTACCCTACATCTGTTCATGTGCGAGAAAAGTCCTTTACTTTAATATTTAATTAAAGAATTATTGGTTTGTAAATTAATGTTTCGTGTATTGGGACTACACTTCATTTACTTTGGTTAGAAGTAGGATAAAATATTATTCTTAAAATTATTTTTTGAAATAATGAAATATGTCTCCACAGAAGGTATAATTACAGTTTTAAGGAACATGCTTTTACCAGATGTAATTAAGATGGCAACTATACAGTTTACATGTACGCTTTTAGGATGATGGATACAGCTATAATTAATTGGCTTCCTGTGAAAACTGCCTTGGTTGGAATCATAGTATTTCTGTTGGTGATGTCATATCTACAGCGGAAGCAGTACAAAATGCCGCCAGGACCTCCTCATCTGCCGATACTGGGGCACTACTTTGGTGAGATATATTTAAAAATCTGACAAATGCACAAGTAAATGGGGAAAAGTAAATAATACATCAAATCTTAGAGGGTTTGAAAATACCGATTAAAGGAGTTCAGGTGTGGCATGAATCGTTCGGAGCGTGAACCATCCGTTCTGCTCATGCGCACAAAGCGCAGGCAAATCTGAGAGACTTCTGGCGTGCACAGTTCGTCTCTATCGACTGTAATAGACATACACTGTTGAGAATATACTGCACGTTCAAACATGAGCTTTAGAAATATTCATATCGTATAGTTGTTCGCCTCTGCTGCAATTTCTCTCAGGTGGCCATATCAACACACAATTATATAGCCAAGTAAATTCAAGACAATAATACACGTAGTGGGTCAACGGCTGAATAACGACGGCCCGTCCACAGTTCATCCACAGGTTCATCCGAGCGTCGAACTGTAATTTGACGCTGATTCTCTACCAAAATTATCAATTACAAATTTTGTATTAAGACATGGATTTTACGTAGAAATATCCCCACTATTGTAAATATATAAATATATAAATATATAATGAGGTGAGAACGGAACAAGCCACATCAATGCTAAGGTGAATAACAACGGATCATTCACGGAACGGTTCATACACGCATTTGCTGCGTGTACAGTCGGTCAGGATGGATGGTTCACGGTCAGAACGGACCGATTACGTGACACCAGGCAAAGTACAGAGAGAGAGAGAGAGAGAGAGAGAGAGAGAGAGAGAGATGAATTTGACCAAATAGCATTTTAAAACTTTTAGAAATAACAGATCTAGGGAAGACATACATCGAATTAAGCTGTATATCCCCTCCTTAGTTTCACCGCATCCCCCTTCCCACACCCACTTCCTTTCTAATTAAATATTAATAGAATCAAATGTTATAAAAACGTGTACTTAACAAACCGGGACTAAATCAGGCAATATGTATTTCACGCATCTTTACTGTACTCAATTTAAGAAATTTTCCTTTGTCTACTATTTATGTTTTTTTCGACAGCCAAAGAGAAGCAGTTTTTATACTCAACCTCCCCCTCTTGTAAGCAAAATCTTTATCGCCACTGTCTTATATAAACATCCGACACATATACCGCTATCGTCAGTAAACCGAGGTGCATGATCTGTCCCTATAAAAAGAGTTTATATCGTACACGTACATTATTCGGAAGATTGTTCGTAAAATCTTAACTGTCACATTGCTGACTTCTTTATTTATTAATTGTTTTTTTTTTATGTAAAAAATGTTGCTCATAACTCAGTATTGTGAAAGCTCTTCTTTTCGAGAGAAGTTTTCCAACTCCCGCTAAAGTGAATGTTTTGGCTATGGGTAATGGCCGGAAGTTTTCAGGAAAAAATATCACCCTGTGGTTGTGAGTATTATTTTAAAGATATTGAAACTGTCGAAACTGTTTTATATTTACCGACGTTTTTCTTTCAACAACATATATGTATGGCTTTCTAGGATATTGGCATTTTTCTTGAAAGGTCTGAAAACATTGAAGAAATGCAAGCCCAAGTCACGGGCTCAAATTTGAAAAAAAGTCTTGTATTCGTAAATGCTGGTACCATTTCAGCTTTCAGAAACGATGGTCGACTGTACGCCGTCTTCAATAAGCTCGGGAAGTCCTTTGATGACATTTTTACGGTTAATTTAGGTATAAATTTATTTCGACAATTAACTTATCATATCTAAACAATGTTTTATAGATTAAGTAGAATGCTTCTTTTTAACATTTCAACATTCGAATTAGTTGTCAGTGTTAGAATATGTTAATTCAGTAAGAATGTTTTTAGTTTATGATCATGTTCTATCTGCAATCTATTTCAGAAGGCAAGAAAATCTAACAATTAAACATGATTTGCCTTCACAGGATTTGGGCGCTCGTTAGTTGTTTTAAAATCTGCGGAGATTGTTCATGAGGCCTTGGTTGAGAAGAAAGAGATATTTGCGGGGAGAGATGATGAGAGCTGGAAGTGTGAGTAGCATTTTTTATCGAATATAATAAATATATAATAAAATAGTGTACGTTCTCCATGCCTCACTGCTAATCATATGTACATATATATAATAGACAGAATGTGATGATGATGTACAGTTCCCACATCAAACTCATAAGCAAAGCAACGAATTAAAAAAAGTGTAATTTGTATGTCTTCAAAGTCACCAGCTGTGCTTTGGAAAAATATATATTTAAATGAGTTTTAACTGATGACTACTGTTTGTTTCATCTCATTAACCCCTGCACTTCTATTGACCAAGTTGAGCTTCTCACTGACGGGTTCAAAGATTTAACTTTCGCCAGCTATGGTCCAGTTTGGAGACTGCAGAGACAGATGACTCTGAGGGCTCTCGGGTACGTTGACCTTATTATTGCGTTACAGGCATTGTTTGATTGGAAAAGGTGAATAAATCACCGTATAATACCCTATAAGTTGACAGATGCTAGCACCAAATTATTTATCAAATAGAACGGTGCCGCTATACTGATTCTAAATCCAGGCACACAATATTTTTAAATATTGTCCCATATAGATTGATGTGCAAGATATGTATTGCAGAATCAAAACTGACCCTATTTACAGGAAAACGCGGTCGGAAAACCTTTTATCCCTTAGTCGTTTTAGTATTTATTGTTTGTGTGTCATGTATGTTATGAAATACCAGTTATAAATCAAGTATGAGGAATACAAGGGAGACTTCATGCGGAACGGTTAAATACATGTATGTTGACAGAAAGTCAATGAGTTGTTTTTGGGTCAAGAAGATCCAGTTTATTACAGTCTTAGGGTAAATTACACATGAGAACATTATATATAGTCACATAGGGTTATCATTTTTTTCGTCATTTAGGAGCTACCTGGCGAGTGATAAACTGGAAACATACACGAGGTCTGCTTTTGAGGAAGTCGCCGCCTTGATTGAAAAGGAGGCCGAGCCGTTTGAATTAGACCTTTACATCCGGTTACTTGTCTTTAACATCGTCTGCAGGATGTCGTTTGGAAAAAGGTGTATAACTGTTGAAATTATAAGGTTGATACGCACTCGGTCTTTTTGTAACGTTTTTCATTGGATTGTGGGAAACCAATTGATTTTCTTTCTATGGGTTCATTCCCAATGAATCTATTATTCTTCTTAAATCGATCTAACTCTGTGGGGTTTTCTAACTGAAAGCATCCAGATACACAGGTTAATACGCATCCTCCTCGCGATGAGCAGAATTACAGGAAAAAAACTGATCATTACACTTGTAAGTTCAAGAAGGGGTGTGTGAATTTGTTTTGTCTGCATTCAGGGATCGAATTAGGTAGAACGAAAGTTTCTTTTTCAAAACCTGCGCTATTTAAATGACTTATCCATAATATGTAATCGGAAAACCGAAATCTAATTCATTTATGTACCACTATCAATATTTATTCAGAAATCTGTTACTTAATGGTCAAAGAAAAAAATACCATTAAATTCCAAATAGGTACTTACAACTAGAGTTATAATACACGAGGGGTTGTTAGAAAAAATATAAGATTTGATATATAGAAGAATGTATTCATATACATAACTATCAATGTGTTGTACATTTATCCAACTATGATATCCATTGACTAATCTTTGTATAGAAAATATTAAATATCTGTTACACTTAATATCGTTCGAAACTCAGAAATGAAATGTGACATTTTTCAGCTACGCAATTGACGGTCTGGAATTCACCTGGTTAAAGAACAAAATTGGCGAATTTAATGAAAAGGTCTTGGGAGGACTAATCCCCTCTGACGTCATCCCTGTCTTGAAACATTTTCCTATCCCATCATCCCTCACGGCAAAGCGACTTTCGAAGGAACTGGATGGCTTCTTCAAAGTTAAACTGGAAGAACACAAGGCAACTTTAAACACGGGTTCGTGTCCTGTTTAGAAAATACTAATTTACAAAAAGTCTGTAGTCCGTTGAATTTAATATTACTGAAATGAACATTTGCCAGTAAGCAACTATGTTTATAAATGTACTATATAATTTGTAATAAATTTGTAATAAATAGTTCTATTGAAAATAAGTAGACATTAAATTATGATCACTACATTTTGATCATTTATTTCAAAGGTGACGCAAGAGACATAATGGACCAATTTTTGCTACTGAAGGAGGAGCTGACACCTGAAAGCGATGACAACGCCAAGGAGGCGCTTTCTGACACTAGAATCATGCTCACCTTATTGGACATAAATTTTGGTAGGGTTAATTTCTAAGATAATACACCTGCACTCTTTATACAGTATTTCTGGTGATATAGATAAGGTATGGATAAGGTATCACATCACCATACTCGCAAATATAACTGCAGTTGCTTTTACATGTGAAGGTATTTTAGACGACTCAGTTGATGTTCTTTCTTTTACTAAAAAGGAATCGTAATATCACTTCGGCTCCTGATATCACACGGGTCTCTAGATAGTTAACAAAATTTGAGCGATGCAACATTTCTGAAAGAGTACGATAAATTAAATTTCACAGATTCAGAGGTAAAGGGCATACTATGGATTTTCAATCCTCCACTTTTAACCAACATTACAAGGAGGAAGAATGATGTACACCACTGGTAATTTTACTTCGACGCTTCTTATTACTTTTTTATCAAACATGTGGTAGATTTTATGGGAAAGAAATTTATGTTTCTGAACAAAGCACACCAAGAGTTGGTGTGCGATCTTCAATATGGAACTTTTACTCCCGTAGCTGCAACCGTGACTACATCCGACACGTTGAATTGGATGGTAATGTACGTAGCAGATAATCCAAAAGTCCAGACAAAGATTCACAAGGAGTTAGACGACTTAGGTACATTGTAAAAACTTATTTCTTGTCTTTTTTAGTTACAGTTACATGTGTATCTTATAGGTAAAATACGTGTATATGTATCATCGTTCTAGAAAACGAGCATCAGAATGAGGTCTCCACTATTAGTGTTTATAGTCATTATGTTTATGTCCTTATTATTATACCTTTTTGTTTGACATATGCCAAACAGAAAACAATTTGGGCGATCTCCGTCACTGCAGAACTAAGATGACTTACTGCGAAGCTGTTCTAAGAGAAGTAATGCGCATACGCCCTGGGGCCCCAGTTGCTTTAAGACATAAAACACGCTGTGATACCAAATTAGGTAAGACATCAATTTGTCTTGCTCGTATATAAAACTTATAAAAGGTTATTGAATTATCTATCATTATCAATATATAATTAATGTTCCCCATCCAACAAAGACAGTCGATAATATTAAGTTTAAGGACTACCGATTGCAGGAATTTGAATTCCACAGCAATTTCAGCTTTTGCTTACATATACTACCTACTTTTTCTCGTGTATCAATTTTTCATTAAATGGCAATCTGAAAATTAATTATAATGTTCATGTTAAGTCAGTATTATGTTGTTAGCAATGCACCGTTGGTATGACGCTACACCTTTTTATTCAACATCATTTAGGTGGATACGATATCCCAAAAGACACTCTTGTCTATCCCAACATATGGGCAATCCACCATGACCCGAAAAACTGGGAATCGCCGGAGACGTTCATGCCAGAGAGGTTTTTAGACAAAGATGGCAGCTTGAAAAAATTGGATAAAAAGACATGGCTGCCGTTCGGCCGTGGCAAGAGGAAATGTGTGGGAGAAGCACTTGCTAGGGCAGAAATCGGGATGATTATGGTACGTGTTGTTTTGTTTTGATTGTTTTCTTTTAAATATGTCAGATAGCCTTAGTGAATATTACATTTTATTCATATAAACGTATATCGTGTGTGCACTACTTACACATACATGTACAAGACGTACATGTGCAGGTTTAAATAGTAATTAGTTTCTTTTCCAGGCATTGTTTTTTCGTCGGTTTAGTGTTAGCTTTCCACCAGATGTGCAACCTGACTTCGAGCCTATGATGTTTGAAATACATGACACTCCCTTTCCTCAAAAGATAATTGTACAAAAAAGAGAATGACAATTTACATGAAAGTGTTTTTAAATGACTCAAGCAATATTTGGACTGGTATTCAAATATAATTCGTGGATCAAGAGGCGTAGATGCCCGCATTAAACAAAGCATTGTTTACCTTTCGGAAGTAGGCAGACCATAACAGAATGTTGTAGAAATGAAAAGAAAACAAATTCAATAATTATACATGTATAGTTATATTTGCATAGCATTAAGCACTGTTGGGTGTAACGATATTGAAATTTTCCGTTAATGGTACTATGTTTTAGATGTTATACAAGTAGCTCAAATATTAAAATACAATAAAGCTTTTTTTTTTTTTTNCTATAGAAAACAGGGTATCTAATAAAAAAATATTTGTCATATGTCCTGATTAATACATCCAAAATTCACATTTGTAATGAAAATATATACATTTGCGTGAACAGCTTTAGCGTTTCACCTTCAGCACTTTAGGGTGCCGCTGAATTAATGTGTCTGACAAATACAGTTCTTTCTAAACTGTTTCGAAGGCTGAAATAGATCGTTACACAGTCATACAGATTGTCAGACTGTCGGTTTCGTCTTTACCCAGTTGTATGTGCAGGTGCACGACAAAAACGTTGTCGGATTAACGCCAAGTAACCCTGAGTAACTTGAAACGACAAAGGAATGCTATAGTGTAGAGGTTTGTTTCAAGTTCTCTCTGGAGCTTGGGGGTGCGCGACGTACACGTAGACCACGTTCCGCTATGACATCAACCGTTCTTGCCATTTATTTGCCGGTAACCTATACTACTTGTATATACTTCTTGTTTAAGAGGCAAAAACGTCATATTTGTAACGCAAGTGTATTTTATTGTTCTTTCTTTCTTTCTTTTTTTATTTGTAACAGCTGGTAGACCGCTCGTAAATGGTTGAGATATATTATTTATATATAGATTTCATGAACTTGTTCTTTGTTGTACTGTTATTGGTATTAAGTATTGTCAGATTAAATATTCATGGTGATTTGTAAGACATATTTTCTCTTTTCCACACGTAATGCCCTTGCTTATATCAAGGTCAAAGCTTCATGTTTCCTTTGTTACATTGTATCCACCCCGATTTGCAGCCTTCCGCTATAAGCATAAAGAATACCAAATTAATTTTAAAGTTGCAGACATGAAATGTAAGTATAATAAATTAAAGTGCCTTTGAAAAAAATTAGGAGACCCAGGTTAAGTTGAAATAGTAAATGCTTGTTTTTCATTTCAGTGAATGTCTAGAAAATGTCATCAAAATTTGTGAATAAAGTTTTAGATGTGTTGTTAACAAACAAACCAACACCAATGATTTACATGACCTCCTTTGCTGGCGGAGATAATTGAATATCTCGTTACCCATTTTAACGTCGGATCAAATTTTGAGAGAGAACCGCTATCATTACGCTGTCATTTCGTTGTATATAAAGGTTCCGCATATCCATGGACATGTTGTTGTTTTGAACAATCTGAAGATGCAATGATTTGGATATGTTGTCATTAAAATGGCTCCCAATATCAACCATTTAAATGTATTAGTCTGTCTTAGCTACATACGCAGCATTTACCGGTAACCTAAACGCTTGGTGACAAGGTGACAACCTACCATGTACCCGTTTCACAAAACGCCTTTTTCTTAATTTGGGATAAAATTTTAAGCCAAGCGTTTGATCTAATTTAGTACAAGCATTCACTGAAATGAATTTAATATTAATTGGCCTGAAACATTACCGATTACATTTTATTAAACTGGAATAATTGATACTACAGACTTGACATTTAATATGGAATATTTTTTCCAAAACATAATTCATCAGTTTTTTTCCTATTTTGCTAACTGATAAATGAAAATAAGGATTAAAATCGTGTTTTAATAACTTTTGATAATCTCTTCTATGTCATTGTGACATCAGTTCATAAATTGTATATGTCAGTGAAGCAAACAAAAATACATTGCCTATTTTAAGTCATACGACAACCATTGAAAGCGATATTTTGGATCTCCATGTTTTCCTAATTATTGTCTTTAAAAGAGTTACACGTCCCACAAAGGCCCCCCATGTCAGTGTCTAGTCACAGCAACAGTCGCTGTTACGCTTGACCTCAGCTTGCTGCTACCAGAGCTTTCAAGCCGCAAGGCATTTCTTAGGATAGGCTTTTTAGAGTTTAATCTGGAATAAAATTCCTGAATACGGTTAAAACTTGTCCAATTTGGCTCCGTTTTGATGTAGGACATGCAAGCCGTTGATTCGGCGAGTAATGACCTACCCACATATTGTCTATGTGGTTCAAATATGGCGATTTTGATGACCAAGGTAGCTACTCATTCTCTTGGTTCTGTAAGTTATCTGCTATTAAAAGTGCTCTGTGTGAACCGGCAACCTCACCCTGCAGCCTAAAACTGTTCCTAAGGTGCCCCCTATCAAATAATAGTCAAGTGGTTCCCAGATTATTCCTTTATTTGATCTGGTTCAGGTTTTCATCGATGACTACCATGGGTGTTTTGGCAGCAATGTGGTATCCACGCCAAATACTGACACTGTCAATGACCCTAATCACTTAAGAAGTGGCACACGCTTCGTCGTAGGCCTCTTCAGGATGTCTGTAAACTCTGTTTTGACCAGTTAAGCGGTAAAGGTTAAATCTGACCTCAATAAAGAAAGCCACGCGGTTTCATTGTTTTACCCAAAAACTGTCATGGCCCCCAATTCATAAGAGAAACAGACCAGGCTGCTTTGCTGTTTACAGTGGCTTCCTCAGAGGTCGTCTGGAATCCTAACCTGCTGATATCAGTTTGGTGTTCGCTAAGAGCCTTGAAAAACAAGTTTTGGTGACAATTTGTCCCTCATTCAAAAAGGACTGGGTGGTTTTGGTTCAATTGCAGCAGTATATCCTGAGGGACAGCGAGTCCTATACCTTGGTGGTAAGACGTCGATGCATTGGGCTTGGTCTCTGTGTAGTGCCTCAAACTGGGCATAACTCCATAAAACTGTGAAGACCGTTCCGTTTGACACAATAATCTGTCTGGCAATGTCTGTTTTTTTCGCGCCATTCTGGCACAGCTTAACAGTTATGTAAAACGCTGCCTAACTCATTTTACGCACTGCAAAACCGACCGCTTGCATGCAAAATTTCAAATTCTTCTATGCAGTATTTGCCGACATATGGATACTTTTTTGACGGAACCATGCTTCGCCATAGCCAAGCTTTGACTAGCCCAAAGGAGCACTGCCCAATTAAATTACTGCATATTACACAAGGCAGCAGTGCAACAGACTTGGTAAGCAGTTAATTGGCAGCGACACACCTGACTTCACACTTCTCCAGTCAGATGTCTTATATGAAATCTGAATTTTTTGAAAAAAGAGGGCATTTTTACCTAGGTATACCTTTAAAACTGAAATATTCCATATTAAATGTCAAGTCTGTATAATGGTTTGTCTTATCTCAGAAAAGATTGCAACAATGATCGTTTTAACTTTCTTTTGTGAAACAGATTTAAGGTTAAATATGAAATCTTCATTCATCCTAATGGCATATGATGTTTTTTGCAGATTCAGGACGATGGATATTGACGCTGTGATTAGTTTACTCACTGTAAAGACTTTTGTGGTCGGATTCACCACATTTCTGTTGGTGATGTCATATCTACAGAGGAAGAAGTACAAACTGCCGCCAGGACCTCCACAGCTTCCGATACTGGGGAGTTACTTTGGTGAGAGCTTTTTTGAAAACCACATCTTCCACCCTACTGTATTGTTTTCACAAAAGAAAAAGTTAAACGTTGGGGCATTTTTAGTGTCAAAATATGGCATTTTGTTTGGTCAGTTATGATGTAATTGAATGTTAATGTTTTAATAAAATATACGTATCAAATTGAGCACGTTTTGATATAATTAAATGTTAATGAATTAATAAATTATGCACATCTTATTCCAGCATTCAGAAATGATGGTAGACTGTACTCTGTGTTTACAAAACTCGGAAAATCATTTGGTGACATTTTCAGTGTTGATTTAGGTAAATAAAATGAGACGTTTATTTTTGCGATTGTGCCGCCATGTAATACATTACGATACTATGCTTTATGGTTTAAGCGCCGTTTTGTAACACCAGACAGAGGTGACAATGGGAAAATCTACACAATAAGACTTAATATGTGTGGTCGACATTTAATCTTACTTCTCTCACAATTTCCTTCCAAAGCTGTATAGTTTAACTTGAACTGTATCTTTCTTCTTGATATTTTACCTATATTTTTATTTTATTCGTTTTACCTTTGTAAGGTCTAGTAGACGTTTTTATAGAATTTTAGGTTTTATTTTTTTACTCTGTTCCCAGAGAGGATTTTCAGTGAATACCTCGAAATATCTGTACGCGTTTCACTGAATAGATAATTATTTTTTGTAAAATACCAATCTGATACCTATCCCTTTGTGAATGAACCAATATTCGTCAGTACAAATATCTAGACAAATTTCAAAGAAATGAGGTTCGTACCCCGCTTTTTGTTGAGACAAAATGATGACAACGATTGGAAAGTAGTTGTGCAGCCAAAGAAGCTGCAATATAGAGAAATGGATATACCACATGAAAAAGATGGAATTAGTTGTGGTGTAACATAGAGGCGTGTCAGCTTCATTATTTTTATGCAATCTTTGCTGAAAATATACTTGGGAAACAAAAAATATACCAATAATTATTATTCACTTTGTTAAATGAAGAAAATGTTAATGGAGGCACCATGCAAAAAAGGAAAAGTCTGCTGCCTTAGCTTCATTTAAAAGTAAATCATTTTGAACAAATAATAGTAAAATACTTTGATTTTTTATGTTTGAAACAATGAAATTCTTGACCAAAATGTTCACCACCATAAAATTTCACTACACTTTCTAATATATACTCATCTTGGATTATATACCATTTCACATTTAAGCTGTAGTAATTAAAACCCTAACACATTTTTCATAGCCTCAATAAAAATTCCAAAGGCTTTACATTTGATTAAACCACGAATTTTCTGAAGTATTTCAATATATATCGGCCAAAATTAATTAAGCTGCGCATTTTTGGCCGATATCTTTGATGTTTAAAAACAATGTATATCAAATTCTACTAAGTCCGTTATTTCACATGGCGTGGTTTTACATTTTCAGTGTTTTTAGGTGTGTATAGGGCTAACATCGACTTGCACAATTTGGAAGCGTATGGACTTTACAGTTACTACATTATTACATTTGCAGGTTTTGGGCACACGGTCGTGGTTCTAAAATCTGCAGATATTGTGCACGAGGCTTTAGTTGAGAAGAAAGAAACACTTGCAGGAAGAGGCGTTCGGACTTGGAAGTGTATGTATCGATTAAACCTGAGACCACTTCGATCTCAATGTACAAAATCTTTTATTATTGTAATAATATGTATTTTTTTAATTAAAGGGGACGTTGCACAAAAAACATCAACATTACAGGTAGAATACTGAGCACACTTTTGACATATTTAAACAGTACAATTAAAGGTTTGTGGGTTGGGAGTTACCTGTAACAGAGATTTAGTTACCGTTACGTCTTCTGTTCAAAATGAGTAATGTCATTCATTGAAATTTGGTTTCGGAGAAAAGAGCATTATTATTTGAAACTACAAATCGAATAAAAACAATTTCACTATTCACTTTCAAACCTCAAATTTAAGGTATCCTTTGATTACAAGCTGCAGTTCAGTCATTTTGAAAATATAACACAATTTATGGAAACAGTACTTAGTTCATATATGCACCTGTGCATCTAAGAGTATTTTACCTGATTGCCCGACTTCTGTCCTTTCTAAATTTGGGTTAAATCATGTACATACATATTCAAAACGCGTTTAATAAGAGTGGTTTTGCGAGATTCTGAGGAAAGGTGTGTAATTACGTACATTCAGAAGCCGCTTCTTTAATTTAAAGCCATAGATATACACTTTTTATTCAAAACGCCTGATGTTTAGGCATGATAATGTGAATAATGTTTCACACCAGTCTTCACTTACAGCTTTCTTTCTGTAAATGAAATAATGTTTATCATATTGCCAGATGAGCTATTCAGCGGAGGAAACAGAGATATAATTTTCAGTGACTACGGTCCAGTGTGGAGACTACAAAAGCGGATGGCGTTGAAGGCATTCAGGTACTTTGATCGAATTATTGGTTTCATAAATCACTGTTGAATAATGTTCCTAATAGATTTGAACCCACTTTCAATTGAGATCTGAAAAAAAAGCTCAAGATTTTTTTTTTTTTTACCAAAAGTAACTCTTTAGTTAAACGTGATAATAATAGGTTATTGGAAAGGACACCTCTGGGGTCCCAGTCTGTTTAGACAGGATATAGCACCATACTATTGAGCAATCATTCATTGCAAAACGCTCATAAAAGAGGAGTGGCAATATAAAAAGTAACCAGATGTTAAAAATACTTTTGGTAACGTATCATTATTTCTGGGCTGAACTGTAAATATTTCCTGTTGTAAATGAACGAACTATGGGTGTTAGGGTTCTCTATGATATATATATATATATATATTTTTTTTTTTTTTTCATTTTCAGGACCTACGTAGCTAGTAATAAATTAGAAACGTTCACGAGGTCTGCTTTTGATGAAATCGCTGCCTTGATTGAGAAGGAGACCGAGCCTTTTGACATGCATGTCTACATGCGGTTACTTATTTTCAATATCGTCTGCAGAATGGCTTATGGGAAAATGTGGGTTAATTTTTGACAACTTAAAACTGCACATACCATTAAAAATGTAATTACTTATATTATATATCTACCCAAACATGCGCTGCTTGCACGTGATTGCACAGGAGTTGGCGGAATATCGATTAAAACATAACCGAATGAATGTCGTCTACTTTGATTTTACTTATTATTTGTATGCCGTGGTAGTTATTTTATTTGTCGTTTTCAAGTTTCATGTATATTCCCCATGGTCATTTTAGCTACAAAATAAACGAACCGGAGTTCGTTTGGCTGAATGGCGTAATGGACGAAAGCTTGGGCAAGGTATTTGGAAGTATTATTCCTTCTGACGTCATCCCCGTTTTGAAGCATGTCCCTATCCCATCATCCCTATCGGCGAAACGTCTTTTGCAGGGACTAATTGATTTTCAGAAAGTCCAATTGGAAGGCCACAAAAGAACGTTAAATTTGGGTTTGTAAATTTATGTATGCTAAGAATAACATGATCAGAGTTGATGTTTGAAAATTAATTAGGAAATGACGAATGACAGTATAAGATTCGATCACCATCGTTACATACACATATACTATTCTTTTTTTCCGACAAAACGGTTTCTGTTGAAAAATTAAGTACATTCAACAGATATATATATATAACTTTTTCATGTTCAAGGTGAGGCCAGAGACATCATGGAGCAGATGTTGCTACTGAAAGAGGAGCTGACAGCCGAAAGTGATGATGACGTCAAGGAGTCGCTTTCTGACCTCCGCATCATTCACACCATAATGGATATTTTCTTTGGTAGGTCAAACACTCAAGAAAGCAAAAAGACACTTTGCACTTTAATATGATTATTTTCCATGTGTAAAACTTTTAAGTTTAAAACATTGCTTAGCTATCAGTACACTTTTACTTGATACGTTAAATATTCTCCTATTGAACTTCACATTGAATTTCACATTCCCGGTACATGTGCATTTCATCATATTAATAATACCTTTACAAATAACTACATATACCAGTAAATGGACTTCATAATAATACCAAAGCAATAACAATATGCAAAAGCTAGTAGCATGTTTTATCAGAAAATAATGATCTTGTAGCTGGAATCCAGACTACATCTGACACGTTGGTGTGGATGATTTTGTATGCAGCAGATAATCCAAAGGTTCAGTCAAAGATACATGAGGAATTAGACAGCTTAGGTAAATGTGCCTCTTCTTCCTTTTCTCCATATTGAAGTATATCTCAATGACAGCATGTTTCATAAATTTAGAAACACTGTATCATTTTAAAATGTTTTAATACTGCTTTGAATGTCCATGATGTGATTTTTGCATCTTGAAAGAAATTATTTCAAAATTATTTCAATATTTATTTATTATTTACACTTCAAAGGGGACGATTTCTGCGATCTTCGGCAATGCAAAACAAAGTTGCCTTACTGCGAGGCAGTTCAGAGAGAGGTTATGCGCATGCGTCCTGCTGGTCCAGTAGCCATACCTCATAGAGCAGTTTGTGACACGAAACTAGGTCAGATACCAACCTATTTGTTTGAATATATATTTTTGTTTCAAATGATCGAACATTTCTAGAGAATATAACATGTTGTTTCAATAATTTCAATAATTTCAAATTGAGAATGACAGCCCAAAGGTGGGCAGTTCTGCCCTAGCACCATTTTCATTAGGGACAGGTATCAGTGGGTAACAGGTAATGCTACACACGGAGTCTGTAATCTGAAAATCCGGGTTTTGGCTGTAGTTTTGTGGAGACGGCCAGAGCTAATGTCTGGCCGCACATGGTGCAGTAGTGTCCCTGTTTGCCTCCAGAACTCCGCGGTTTTAAAACTTATTAAGCTGGCTCTCAAGGAGGCGTTGTCTCCCTCCAGATGTTTTACCGAAATGACCCACACGTACAATATCCGTCACCGGTGATTGGACTTTTTATATACAGGAGGCATTTTATAAAGGTTAGGTTTGATACAGAGGGTACACAAATGTAACCATCTATAGTGATGTAGTTTATACATCTATACTCTATAAATATGTAACTTTTATTACTCAAGTAATAATATAATATAAATCTATTTTTGAAATATTCCACCATTTTAGCAAGAGTGTAGAAGGGGCAATTGTGTAGAAATGCATTGCTTATGCATCATGATCAGTGGAAGAAGTTTGAAATTATAATTTTAAAGTACTAACTTCTACATGTAAGTAACAACAGTTTCAACTGAACTTTGGTGAGCAGGACTTTCGTCACAAAGGTTATTCTTATAGCATTTTGCTTCAATAATCTATTTGAAAATAGATTAAACCATGTAATTAAATGAGCAAACACGGGCGTGAGTAAAAACACTTGCTCACATCTCCATGGAAAAATCCAAGCTTGTGTGAAAGAAGTCTTGCTTACCATTTAGTAACATCCATATATCTTACTTTCTACCTAGGTGGCTACGATATCCCGAAAAATACTCTTATCTTTGCAAACATATGGGCAATCCACCATGACCCGAAAAACTGGGAATCGCCGGATGTTTTCAAGCCAGAAAGGTTTTTAAACAAAGATGGCAGCTTAAAAGAGTTGGACAAAAAGACATGGCTGCCGTTCGGCAGTGGCAATAGGAAATGTGTGGGAGAAGCACTCGCCAGGACGAATATTATGACATTTTTGGTGGGTAGAGGCAAACACAATTGCTTTATATTAGGTCCATTTCTGATAAAATAGGAACCTTTCGATTGATGCTTCATGTTGTTTATATGCATGTATGACTGACATGGCACTAGATAATGCTAGAAGTTCCGTAACCAATATTACCATCATTATTTGTATTTTAGCCACCATTAGTGAACATTTTATTATAATTTCAAGGGTGACCCTTTGCACAAGAATTTAACAGGCGTTTTGTAAACATAAGTATGAATATATACTAGTATTGTTTACAGGCAGTGGACGCATTCTAAAGTCCATCAAAACATGACTTGTATTTGTTTACTTTATTATATTAATTATCGGCTCTTTTATTAACGTTTATTTATTTTTACAGATACTGTTCTTTCAACAGTTTGAAGTGAGCTTTCCGCCGGGACAAAAACCCGACTTCGAGCCTGCAATGTTAGAATTGGCATGCGCGCCTAAGCCTCAGAAGATAATCGTGAAGAAAAGACAGTAATATTTGAGCCAGAACGGGTTCTACACGTTCCTAAGTACATTTATTTGAAGCTACTCATTGTAATTTGGAAGCGTTTTTCTACTCATTAAGGTTTTACCTTGTTACGTAACAGCCAAAGATATAGCGATGTTTGCTTGTCACAGTGGCTACAAAAGCTTATTTTGGCAAGGCACGATCTACATGCTGGCTTGAGAAAAGCATCGTTTCACCTTGGTAACGAGTTACTTTGTTATTGGTGCATCGTCTTCTTCCCTAGTATAGGCGACCATCCATAAATGGGGGGGGGGGGGGGTTGATTATAAACGTTGTATCCGATCATCTAATTCGTTAACAATGCATTGTCTTAAAATTATTCCGATTTGGAATTAAGACGATGTGGAAATGTATTCTGAAACCCCATGGGGCATACGTAACAGTGAGCAAATTTCAAAATTTATTCACAGTGGGCGGGGACATTCCATCTCGGGATACCTACTTATCTTAACAAAAGTCTAATAGTTATCACCTATACAAAATGTTATTTTGAAATATGATTACTACAACAGTCTTATTTTCAAATTTGAAACCAGTGTGACAATTGAAATACCAAGACATATATTTTATACCTGTGCAATTAAGGTCATATTGCGCCATACGTACATTTAAACCGGCGTGACAGGAATGGAGCTCCGCTAGGAACCGTAATCCGCTTTCCATTTCTCCTTACCGGTGACATTCGTCCCATATACTAACCCAATACCCCCACCTAAACCTAACCTATACTAATCGTATGGGACCCTGGACTTCTATTCAAAGCACTACCGTTCCTGTCACGCCGGTATGTAGGAGCAGGGGGGATAAGGAGAAGGTCGCTTTTAAACATTTGTACTGCTTGGTGATGATAGGAACTTGGCATTGGGCAGAGGTGAGAAAAATGTTTCCAAAAATATGCATATAACGGTGGATTATGTAGGGCTGCACCATCTGCTATATTCAGTCTTTTATATAAGGTGCAAAATCAAGATGGTGGCATTGCATCATGTCGCTCTAGTTTAGCCGAATATAGGGTAATGGTCATTATATAATATGGATATTTCAATTAACATAATGTTTTTTCTAAAATAAAGAGTAGCAAAAAATAACTTTTGCTACATGTAGGCCTATGTATATTGTGGTTCTTTCCCCAGATGATAGCCCAGTGGCTACCAAAACAGGGCAGTTAGCATCAATTCATTTTTTATTTTGTCAGGTTTCAAATGTTTAAGTCATAGAGGAGACAAAACATAAAACAGATAAAAGAAGGGTAAAACGCAAAGTAGTGGAAAAAGCTAGAAAACACGTGTAATGGACAGATAAGTTTCACGAATGCGCTTAAATAAATTTGGACCCATCAGAGAGACCCCCCCCCCCCACGAATTCAAAGTGTTTGTTACCTTTGTGTTGTTTTCTAAGACGAAACCCCCTATGTGACAGGAATGGAAGTCATATGAATGGATGTCAGGGATCTCATATGATTAGTGCAGGAGTATCGGGGTTAGCATATGTTTTTAGCGGGAACACCGGTGTGTTCTCCCCATCGTTCAAAAAGTGTCAGACAATACCATTAGCAGGGGTAACGCTCCTTTTTAAATATGTATTTTGCGACCAAGTGGTTCAAAAATGTATATAACGTATGTTCAATACATAATACACAATCCAAAGAAAGCCTGGCCCTTTTGGCTCTATTGTAAACTAAACTGAATTGTTGCTGTCGCTTCCTTGGGGAGGATACAACCCGGCTGTTGAATTGGTGCTGAAAGCTAGCAAACGTACCATTTCTTCCACTGCCAGACCCCACTTCAACCCCTTTCTGTTGAATGCTAAGCAGGGGGGCCAGGTACCTTTTATGAAGACTAGTGCGTCCCCGGACGAAGTTGAACCCACGTCCGCCTACTCCGGAGGCGGGCAGTCTAACCACAAGGTCATCTGATTAGAATGTAATGCATTGCAAACATAAAAAAACAAGCGTGGAAAAGTATTCCTTTCGAAAAATTAATTAAGAATATCAAAAGAAACGCCTATAAGCGTATGGCTGAAAATTACTATTTTTCAGAGATCTTGCATAAAGAGCAACTTTTTAAAAGATGGAAAGGTGATGCATTCAACTCACTGAAATGTTTATTTTTCAAGAAAGGGTTAGGTTTGGAGCAGCACATGTATTTACTAAAATTGCCCCTACAAAAGCAAAAGAAATATGAAACGTAAGACCTAGTAATGCTAATTTACCAGCTGAAAAGGACGGATGGTATAAAATACCTCGGGTGAAAGAATATGTCATCTATTTAATACCTCAAGATTGGAAGTTGACTTTTGTTCTTTCTTTAAATGCCAAGATACAATAATTGTTTACCATAGGATTCTTTAAGACCAAGATGCGACACTTTTTCTCCTAGTGAATAAAGACCCCATTCCCATAGATTTTAGATCAATCTATCCCTGTGGGGAGTCTCACTAGATTACTGTCAGCTTAGCCGGCTTAAGCGTCTGTCCAGCCTACTAAAAGCTGTAAGGGGGTAATTAACTATGGTGCGCGCTCGGCTGACTGCAATTTAGCGTGAACCCCCAGGGAGTTAGGTCGATCTAAATCTAAATCTCTTAATCGATCTACATCTCTGGGAATGCACCATAAATTTGACAAATTACTCAACCTACAAAATAAGAAATTATCAAAATATATTCGCATCATAATAGAAAGAAACAGCTCTTATTTTACCTTATTTAATACTCCTATCATAGCTTGCCGTCATAGTTTTGGTTTGAAATAATAAAGCTATCACCAAAACAAGTCAAAATCTGGATTTCACATCCTAGTTCAGTTTCTTTGACATTTTAACAAACTGTTTCCCTCTTTTCTATGATCAACTTCTGCGGTTTTGGGATGCAGTCAAAGGGATACATGGCAGGTTCGAAATCCGGTTTCTGTCCTGGCGGAAAACTCACTTTGAACCGCTGGAAAAACATAGCCTGAAAAAATACGGTGGAATGGTTTAGATCTATAATTTTACAGCAATAACATATCAAAATAATGCTTTTTATGATTAAAATGTGTGATTAGATGATGGTTGATAAAATTTTTAGCTCTTTCTTTGAGCAAACCACTATTACTTTGTATAAAGTAACCGTCTGTCTCTTTCAACAATTTAGAACCAAGGTTACATTTCTGTTCTTACCATTTTTACCCAACAAATGCTTTTTCTTCTTCTTTCTATGTTTCATCTAATAATCATAAAAAATAACATTTTTTCTGATAAAGTGTAAGTGTGGTGTGATCAAATGTCATGTTTACGTACCATAATCATCATAATGTCAGCTTTGGCCAGACCTTCGCCGGCACATTTCCTCTTCCCAGAGGAGAACGGCACCCATGTCTTGGTATCAGTCGGTTTCAGGTTGCCATCTTTGTCCAGAAATCGCTCTGGTTTGAAAACTTCTGGCGACTCCCAATTTCTGGGATCATGGTGTATCCCCCATAAATTTGGAAATACCACAGTCCCCTTTGGCAGGTCATAATCGCCTAGTTTGGAAGAATGATAGATATATTTCGGGCAAAACTGAAGGGATAAATATATATATGTATTTAACAGGCAAAACACCTATTATATGGACATGTTTTACGATATCGCTTTTTGATACAGCCTCATACACATAGAGGTGTCGTGCACTAATGGACTAATTGAAACATTTACAGTTTCTAAAGGTTACTCGTGGAAAGTTGGTAACCAAGGAGTCACGGACAAATGCATGTGTAAAACGACACATGAGAGCATACGAATGCATGCACGGAAAGATCCACAGAGAGAGTTCCTCGGAGAAGGGCAAATGCACCAATACAAAACGAGGAGAACTCAAACAAACACACACAAGTGTAATCTTAAACAAGTGTGTGCACAATCGGCTTACCAAGTTTTGTATCTCGAATCGCCTGGTGCCCGAGAGCCACCGGGGCAGCCGGACGCATGCGCATAACTTCGCGGAGAACCGCCTCGCAATATGGCAGCTTGGATTTACTGTGACGCAGGTCGTCTAGATCGTCCGCTGGGTAATATAATAAAGCAGATACAAATTTAAGAGAAAGTAAAGTTCGGTTAATGTCAATGTTTTAGAAAAATGAAAAACTTGCTTAAGATGTGTTTCGGGCCGATCTTTATCCCTTTACGTCTGAGAAAAACATTATTTTTTCATTTATAACCTTGTATGCATATCTAATTACATTTATGTTTTTCCATAGGTTTGTAGTATTCGAAAAAGAGAAGAAACACCATTCCTACATATAACGTCACAGACATGTCAAGCTTATCAATAAGTGAGAACGGTGTTCTAGTACCCAATGTTTCACTTAAAGTAATAAATTATTATTATTATTATTATTATTTTGTAACTGGCACTTGCATTTTGGCTCAAATACAAAGGTTGAACAGGGCATATGTTGGTAAATGGAGTGCATTTTATTTTTAAAATGTGAGCGTTCCCGAATGTATGAGGCGTTTTTACAGTGATATACCCTGTATGTACATATTGAGACAACCGCATTTGAGAGAGAGAGAAAAAGAGAGAGAGAGAGAGAGAGAGAGAGACCTCACCCAAAACTCCACTTATTTCCTGGTGCATTTTCTCCTGTATCTCCGGGTTGTCTGCAATATACAGCATGGTCCATTTCAGTGTTTCTGTTGAGGTCAGGACACCAGCTACAAAAACAACGAAAATAATACCAGCCATGCTATAGGATCCCTAAGAGACATTCCCAATAAACTGTGTTTCTATGACCTTTGAAAGTGTCATGTATTCTTATAGTGTCTATTTCATAGGTTTTTCATTGCAATGGGTGACCCGTGGCGCAGTGCGACTGATACATAAGTTGTTCCAAATAATAGAAAAATGCAATAAAATTCTGTAGGAATGTAGGTTTCTGTATACTTGTATATGTGTTAAGAAAAATGGGAGATGAAACGTACCAAAAAACACGTCCAATATCGTCTGAATGATATGCTTGTCTGTTAATGTCTCCATCAGGGACCCGTCGCTCCCTGCGTCCAGCTCTTGGCGTACCAACAGCAGTTGGTCGGTAATGTCTCTTGCCTTTCCTGAAAAAATGTCGAAATAGGTAAGACCATATCACCGTAACACTACTTACATTACAGTAAGCAATAGCTTTTTTGGTCACACATGTAGTGTAGCGACTTGTAGTTCAAATAAGGTTCCAAATTTAAAGAAGTCATGGCAATAAAATGTTATATTTAAATCAGTTACTGTAAAGATTATTGTGTTACCTTCTCCAATGGGGTTATGATTTTACCGAAGTTTATTGGTTTGTCAGTCAATAGCAAAACTCAAGAAGTTATCTACGAATTTTAGATAAAATGTTCAGGATTATCGATTAAATTCCAATGGAGACACATTATTCATGATAACGAGAAAATAGTCGGTCCAGTACTGCGCTTTATGGGTGCATATCGTTTAGAATCTGAATTTCTTTTCTGGATAATACAGACACTGGACAATAGAAGTGTCACCCCCTAACTCAGAGTAATAAAAGTAGGCAGATCTTGGATAGTTATAATGCCTGGTCTACTTATAATGTGACTAATGAGTATAAAACCGCTATACCATGGAATTGTATTGTTGGTCTTGTACATGTACAGCAAATGTTATTCCTGTCTTCCTCCAATATGGCAAGATAAGGCAATTATCTAAAGGTTATAGGTGCAAGTTATTAACCTGAAGAGGCGGATTATAAGCAATGTCAGAATATCGATACAATTGAATTGTTCAGTCAGAACCGTGCAGAGGGTCTGGTCTCGGTATAGAAACACTGGATCAAGAGACAAATTGCCTCTGATGGGTCGTCCAAGAAAAAGTACTGGCCGTGAAGACCGACGACTGATTTTGATGTCCAGGTTGTCAAAGTTCGACACTGCTTGTCAGTTGACAACACAGTGGAACAATTTAATAATGTGTCTGTGAAAATTGCTAGGCGTCGGTTACATGCTCATAGAGTACAGCTGGGTAGCAAGACTAAAACCTCTTATATCGTTACAAAACAGGCAACGTAGAGTGAACTAGGGTCAACAGGATCTAGAACTGGACAGACCATGACAATTGGTCCTATATAATGTTTTCTGATGAGTGTCGCTTTGGTGTGACCTCTGATGACAGACGGGTACGATGCTGGTAAAGCATTTGAACCACACTGCATTTGAACCAAACTGCTGGTAAAGCATTTGAACCACATGCACTGAATTTTCGAACCCGGAGCAGCATGTTCATCATGGTGTGGGACTGCATCAACATCCATGGCGCGGGCAAATTGATAGTGGTTGATAGAAACATGAATCACTAGAAATATATCGATGTTTTGGAGTCAGGCTTGCTACCATCTATTACTAACATGTTTGGTGACCGGAATTATCCATTTGTTCCCCAGGATGACAATGCTCCTTGTCACAGGCCCAGAGCAGTTGATGATTGGTTTGACCAACAGGACATTCGCAGGGTGATGTGACCTGCCCAGAGTCCGGATGCAAACATTATAGAAAATGTGTGGAATGATATGTCAAAACTTTTGACAAATGCCCGTCTAACCAGCAGAGAAACTCTGTTATATTCAGTGTTTCATGCTTGGGCCAGCATAAGCCCTGAACGCATCAGACAATTATATGAATCCTTGCCTCGTAGACTGGCACCTATTATTAGGTCACGTGGCTATGCCACTAAGTACTAATTTTGGACTTGAAACTGCATATTTTGGTAGAATGTATATTTTTATTGTCATTTTGTGATTTTTGTGAAATTTGATGTTAATATAATGATACCAGGTGCATATCATTCCACAGTCATTTATCTCCCCCATAGTATTGGTTCAGTAGGGGTGACACTTCTATTGGCCAGTGTGTGTATCTAAAGCATGGTAATGTGATTCTATGCTGAACACATACCTGATACATTTCCTTTTTTTGTACAATAAGTAATAAGGTCGGTAAGTTAACGATTTACAAAATCGAACGCAAAAAGGCGTATCTAGAGTTTCAACAACGACAGTAAAAAGGACTGTAGCGTGCCATATGTTTTTCGTATATTTAATGAGCTGTATAATTTGACTGTCATGCTACACTAAAGAGTTGGAATCTTCGTTAATGGAGACAGGAACTACCTCAATCATCTCAATCAGTTAAAATTAGGAGTTGTAAGATTTCTTAATATCTGCTGGGTGTGATATAACTATAAACAACCTCAGTCAAATCACATGATAACCTCAACCAAAAGTTGAATCATTTTCAAATTATTATAATAGGACGGATGAAACACGTGTATCTTTGCTCTACATTTTTGAGGCGGGCTGGAAAATCACTGCCATAAACTGAGGTCAGCAAAGAAGTTACCAAGCAAATATCCACCACATAAGGTTAAATGCTTATATGTTTTTTGTATACTGGGGGGAAGGGATGTACATTCGTGTTGTTATGAAGGTCATATAATAGGTTAATACCTGGTGTCAAGGTTGCCTTGTGCTCATTGACCTGAACTGTTTGGAAATCAATCAGATCTTGCATTGTTCTTTTTGCAACCTGTGTTGACTTGATAGGCACATGCTTCAAAAATGGAAGAAGATCGGCTGGTATGAAGTCTGTGAATAATCCCATCATTTCGTCCATTTTGTTTTTTAGCCAAACAAACTCTGGGTCATTGACTTTGTAGCTGAAAGTATTTTCAAAAACCTGTTTTCATTGACAAAAATAGAAATGCGCTTTCATTTTTTCACATCCCAAGACCACAGTTCCTAACATAGCTGATACCGTCTGATCATTTTTTTTTCATTAATAAAGATTGGATTTTCAGGCTACTTGTTTTACCCTAAAGATGTAAATTGTCATTAAAATGTGAAAAGACGTCACGACTTTAAAATAAAAGATTAAATGAAGTCACCTTTTCCCAAAGGTCATCCTGCAAATGACATTATAAACCGTCAGGCGAATATATTCGGACAAATCCACAGGTTCCATTTGTTTTTCCAGCATCTTGGCAACCTCCCCAAAAGAAGACTTTGCAAGTTGCTCTAGCTTGTCACTAGCTATGTAAGTCCTGAAAAGTAGACAACCATCTAAGCACTATATACAGTGCGTTTAATAGTAAAGAGTAAAAATACATAAATTCGTCATTTATTAGTGGTATTTTATCAGAACCAATTTAGTTTCGACATTTTCTCTGAAGGACCAGTGCCGGAGTTCGTGAAATAAAGAGTCCACCCTCCATTAAATTATACAGGTAAGGGTTAGTCTGATGTGAGTGAGTCAAAACCATGCTTACTTGTGGAAATTAATGAAAATCGAACTCTCTTTCATGGGTGAGTGGGGGGGGGGGGCTCTGACGCGTCACACTGGATCCCTATTTTCTTCTCCTAACCATGCAGTATTAAAACACGTCCTTTGAACCATCATTACTTTCTATTTTCCATATCCAAAAGGGTCTCCGTGATCTACACAGTTTTAAAAGACTGATTAATTTACCTGAATGCTTTCATAGCCATCCTCCTCTGCATGGTCCATAGGGGTCCATAATTAGCAAATACGATATCTTTATATCCGCCTGACAGCAATTCAACTGAAGGAAAGGAATAATCTAGCCTTATGATATCACAGATATATAAATCTTATGTATGATGTGGGTAACTAAACATGGCAAATCTTAGCTTTAACAGACTGTTATTTAATTAAAACACATCCAAAACAACATCTTGAAAATCTCAATTCCCTTAAAAACTTAAACTGTACACAAAATTATCTCGAATGAAACTGCGATATTGCAAATCATTTTCACTTATTGACAGTTCGATAGATTAGCTGGGCTCTTTAGTCAAAACATTATAACTGCATGCGTTTTGATATAAACAGTTTTGCATCTGCATCTTTTTATCGAACCATACTTACACGACCAAAATAAATTATCCCTTCCTGCAAACACCTCTTTTTTCTCAACCAGGGCCTCGTGCACAACATCGGCTGAATGGAGGACTATAACAGTTTGACCAAAACCTGAAATGAATGGAAGAATTTAAAGGAATGTCTAAAAATTAGTCAAATTGGCTTAAATGCATAAAGAATGTACATACATGTATTTCATTTTATGGTGCGTTTACATTGAAACTACTACAGGTAGGTATTTCGTATTTGGTATTTTGGATTTTCTCTGCGGTGACTTTCGCTGAATGTAATCAGATCAAAAGACTAACACGCTTCCCCCTAGCGTTGAGTAGAATACAGAAAAGCTGCTGATTATACGAGTATACATTCGAAACAAGAGCATCAAAGGCTTCTTAATAATATCAAACTATATCTAAATTTAACTTCCTCGTTTAGACTTCATTTACCTTACTTATATTTCACGCGGTGTTGCCAGTTCTAAATCAAAATTTCCTTACCCAGTAAGTCTGTACTTACCCTGATGAAGGTACAATGTACATCATACTTGACATAATAATATTAATAATTTATTGCATGAACCATCTAACTTGTACGAAAGTAATTCATGTTAACACAGAATGGAACCGACCTAAGTTCACTGTAAATATATCGCCGTGTGTCTTTGCCATCTTCGTGAATACTGTGAACATCCGTTTGTCTTTCCTAAATGCTAGAAATAAAATAAAAACACCCGTTAAGAACATTGTGTAAAACAATAACAATCGTTATTTGGTTAAACGAAGTCAGTTGTAAAAATCTATATAAATGCAGATATGACATTCACTTTTGTACTGACCTAAGTAGTTCCCCAGTATCGGCAGCTGTGGGGGTCCTGGCGGCAGTTTGTACTTCCTCCTCTGTAGATATGACATCACCAACAGGAACACCATAACGCCAACCAAGAAAGTCTTCAAAGTAAGCCAACTTAGCACAGCAGTAACGTCCATCATCCTTGGAATGCATGAAAATTGATTATATATATATATATAAGGCTTTTTTTATCTTTTCCTTTCTTAAAGGGGTCTACTTCACAAATCAATTCAAACTAAAATATTTTCTATACATTAAGATCTAAATTCAGTCTACCTTAACGATTACTACCATCCATTTCTTTAAACAGCGCTATACACATGAGTCTCAGTGCTGTAATTTATGTATATAAAAATTAAAACTACACAGATAAATTAAAGACTACTATAAAAGTAATAAAAACTAAAATATAATAAAGTTAACCACGGGTACCCAATAAAGATCGCGGAAAACTTATGTGAAATGTGGTCGGACTTCCGAGTTTTACGGAGGAGACAGGCTGCTTATAATTTATGAATAGACTAATGTTTTTCTATTTGATTATAAGGTATTCCGAACAAGAGGCTGTTGCAATAATCTAGTCTAGAGGTCACATGGATGAAATTCATTTGTATATGGTTTTTATTGGTTTACATATTGTATCCGAGAGAAGCCTTATTCAAGTCCCCGGCACTGGGCCAGTGCATTACCCCATGTACATTCTAAGCAAAAAAAACTACGGTCGGATATAAAGAAAAACAAGGATTTAACCAGTTAAACAAGGATTTAAACAAGGATATAACCAGATTTACCCAGTTAAAATTCTTATCAAATATGGTTTGAGCGCTGTGGCTTTCTATAAGGTATATATAGTATATATATGTTTCAATACCACTGCGGGTATATAAAGCTGAGCTTCTGAAAAGTGCATAATTTTTCATAAGTCCATACGCCTTCAATTATGAAAAATTAACACGCTCAACTGATGTTTTACCTAAACTGCCCCGTGCTTGATTCTCTTGTTTAAACATTTCGTTTGGATCAAGTTGTTATGTTAAAACCATGTTTGATCAATGCGTCTGTTAGACTTAAACAAACATATCCGTGTAAGTCAAAATATAGGGCGTCCTGAGAAGATAAGACTATTTATCCTTTTAATTTTCGT